CAATTTTATGTTTTAATTCATCTGCAAATTTCTCTGATATGAATGTTTCTTGTAATAAAGAGTAGTCAGTAGTTACAGAATAGTTTATCTAGATGTGTAATGTGACATTGTAGAGCAAACTAGATGAGAAAATGGAGATTCTGCTAGTTGTCATCATGTTTTTCAGTCCAATTCTTCTCATAACCTGTCAGAAAAAAAGTCGCTAGTCTACATCAAATTTATTAAATCAGACCATGCATTAAATATTTCCTGGGGATACTAAATTATATCGTGACTATTTTGGCGTATTGAAGAAGTTAGTTTTGCCATCGCTTTTCTTCTTAACATTAACCATAGGAGTCATAACATCGTATCCGTTGTCACTACTGCCTGATCCCCTGCCTACTGTTGCAGATATATATTTTGACCACTGACATACAGTTTCGTTATATGGACATATATTTTATCAGTATGTGCGTATACTTTGCCAATCTTCTTCTTCAGCGATCTCTGGTCATGTGCATAATCCACTGTGGGCCATAAACTAGGATGTCTTTTCAAGGTCTCTTAGGTTTCCCCAAAGCTTAGTTGTCAGTTCTGCTAGGTGTTGCCATTTGTTGCTCCGCAGCTCCACCAAGAGAGGACAGTCTTGCAGGACATGTTCTGGAATCTGTTCAGCACGAAGACACTGGCAGAGAGCTGTTTGGCTCATACCTAATTTATATGAGTGTTTATTGATTCTGCAGTGTTCAGTGCGTAAGCGAAAAACTTTGACTTGGTCTGTTCTTTTCAGGTGTTTAAGAAAATCTTGTTTGTAATTATAACCAGAGGTGGTTTTCCAATCTGTTTCTGATTTTTTACCTAATGAGAGTTTTGACTTCTGGAAAAGATAGTGGCTGGTATGTCTGTGGTTTATTACTGTCTTCCTTGGCTAAATAAAGCATCACAGCTTTCATTGCCTTTGATGCCACAGTGAGATGGAATCCACTACAAGTGAGTTTCTGCCTATTGTGACAACATGGCAAGTTCCTTTGTTAGACTTTGTAGTAGGCTGTCGGTAGGTTTGGACACAAGGGCCTGTATAGCTGACAGTGAGTCAGTGAGAAAAACCATCCTGCCTGCTGTGATTTGCAGATTGTTCATATACTGCGCTGCCATCAGTAGGGCTGAGAACAAGTTCGTCTGGTGGGGGCTGCCAGGGACACAGTAGTGGCATCTGGGTGTTTTATGTAAACATCTGTCTCACCATGTGTAGTTGCCTCTTTTGCTGATCTATCGTGTAGATTCTCGTCCAGCTGTCATGTGGGAACATGTTGTTGAGGTGTTCCATTTCTTTACTAAAGCGGGCTCAGTATATTTGTTACCCAGGTTTGGGATGGATGCTGGCGCACTGAGTGTCAATAAGTCCCAGAGATTGAAAGATAGCTCTTCAGGTGTACATTGTTGGTTAAGTAGTGAAGAGTATGACTTTCAAAATTCCTTGGTTAGATGGTTTAGGCTTGTGCGCTTTTTTCGGTTCTTTGTTCCTGGCTGCCAATTTTTCGTGCAGGGTGTGGTTTAGAATTTTCTTAATTTTTTCTGCATGTAGAATTGCTTTTGTTCTTCTTCTTTCTTCTAAGGGGAGGATGTTGGCTGCCTTTTCTATTTTTACAATAGGTGTAGATGTTATGGCTCCCAGACTTCGTTTTTGCGTTTTGTCTAGTACCTGTTTATTGGAATAGGTTGCTGTTATCCATGAGGATGATGCGTATTCGAGAGTTGGTCTGACTGTGCAGGTCGTTATCTACTTCAAGATGTACTTTGCCAATGAATGCATATATTTTGTAAATAAAGGCCCATATTTTTTTTTTCCGTTTGAAAAAACAACAACAACCCCACAGTCAGTGACGTTCATCTTCACCAGAACCACATAACAAGTGACTAAACACTCGGTGGCACAAAATGATACCATTTGGATGAAAATCCCCGAGGTGCAAGTCCTAGAAACCCTGTTAAGTTACATTATGGTGCCGACGATAGCTGGTCGGGCTTTAAAATTACAAAACTTTGCGTCCAACACTGGGACATAGTTATGTCTACAAACAATAGATTCCACAATGCATTTATTTCACTTTTCGTTTTATATATATATATATATATATATATATATATATATATATATTATATATATATATATATATATATATATATATATATATATATATATATATATATTTAATTATGTGTGTATGTGTGAGTATGTGTGTAAGTGTGTGTGTAGTTTTGTGTTTCCAGCCACGCGAACGCTTGTGTTACTGCCATCACCTCCATCGTCATGCTGCTGGTTGTCATGAAGAAGGCGCCGTTGGCTTCTTTGACTGTTCTGTTCCCTGAGCGTGCTGTGAACGCCCATGCGCTTCTTTGTTGATGTATAACAGATCCGTCTGTGTAGATCAATCAGAACATCTGCCTCGTCTGAATTTTCAATGACGAGGGCGTTGACCTCTGCGTTGACAACAACATGATTATGCTCCCTCCAATGCCTGTCCAATGTGGCAATACCGGAAAATGTACAGATAAACGCATGAGGCAGGGGTATCCACTCTGCACCAGGGGTGATGTCGGTTAGGCTGCATATTTGCAGATTTATTATACTAGTCAACACATTTTGAAAATCTTATTTTTACCAGAAAGGAAGAAAAAAAGTTTTGTTGCCCATTTAAAACCTATATACATATATATGCAGTCGCCCACAACGGCTGCGTCATACTATATATGCAGTCGCCCACAACGGCTGCGTCATACTATATATGCAGTCGCCCACAATGGCTGCGTCATACTATCCTCATAGCTGATGAACGGGTGACGTGCGTCATACTCTATATGCACAACCATGTGCCTCGTCATACTATTCAGTTGGTACTGACACAGCTGCGTCTTCTCTATGTGAAACTGTCGAACACAATTTTCTCTCTGTCATTCCTATATATGTCAGTAGCTTTTCAACGGCTGCGTCTTACTATATATGCCTGTCGCCCACAACGGCTCCGTCATCCTTGGCCTGTCTGCTTTCTCCCATGTCTTCGGCTGCGTCTGCTTTTCTCTCCAGTCTTCCTTGGTCTGCGTGCTTTTCTCTATCTTCCAGTCGAACACAATGAATGCGTCATACTTGGCCTGTCTGCTTTTCTCTCTGTCTTCCTTGGCGTCATGCTTTATATCTCCGTCGCCCACAACTGTCTGCTTTTCTCTCCGTTCTATATTATGGCCTGTCTGCTTTCTCTCTGTCTTCATACTACCTATCTGCTTTTCTCTCGTCTTCAATGGCCTGTCGCTTTTCTCTCCGTCTTCAGTGGCCTGTCTGCTTTTCTCTCTGTCTATATATGCAGTCTGCCCACTCTCTGTCTTCCTTGGCCTGTCTGCTATGCAGTCTGTCTTCCTTGGCCTGTCTGCTTTTCTCTCTGTCTTCCTGCAGTGTCTGCTTTTCTCTCCGCTTCTTTAGCCTGTCTGCAGTCTCCCACAACGGCTTGCGTCCTGTCTCTATTTCTCTCCGTCGAACACAATGGCCTGTCTGCTTTTCTCTCTGTCTTCCTTGGCCGTCCACAACGGCTGCGTCATACTGGCCTGTCTGCTTTTTTCTCCGTCTTCCTTGCCTGTCATGCTTTTTATCTCCGTCTTCCTTGACTGCGTCTACTTTTTTCTCCAGTCTTCTTTGGCCTGTCTGCTTTTCTCTCGCCCACAACGTCTCATACCTTGGTCCTGTCTGCTTTTCTCTCCGTCTTCCTTGGCCTGTCTGCTTTTCTCTCCGTCTCCCTCATACCTGTCTGCTTTTCTCTTCGTCTTCCTTGGCCTGTCTATATTTTCTCTCCGTCTTTCTTGGCTGCGTCTGCTTTTCTCTGCCGTCTCCCACAACGCCTGTCTGCTTTTCTCTCCGTCGCCCTTGGCCTGTCTGCTTTTCTCTCCGTCTTCCTTGGCCTGTCTGCTACTTTATATCCGTCTCCCACAACGGCTGTCTGCTTTTCTCTATGTCTTCCTTGGCCACAACTGCTTTTCTCTCCTCTTCCTTGGCCTGTCTGCTTTTTTCTCCGTCTTCCTTGGCCTGTCTGCTTTTTTCTCCGTCTTCCTTGACCTGTCTGCTTTTTTCTCCGTCTTCTTTGGCCTGTCTGCTTTTCTCTCCGTCTCCCCTGGCCTGTCTGCTTTTCTCTTCGTCTTCCTTGGCCTGTCTGCTTTTCTCTTCGTCTTCCTTGGCCTGTCTGCTTTTCTCTTCGTCTTCCTAGGCCTGTCTGCTTTTCTCTCCGTCTCCCTTGGCCTGTCTGCTTTTCTCTTCGTCTTCCTTGGCCTGTCTGTAGCGATTCTCTCCGTCTTCCTTGGCCTGTCTGCTTTTCTCTCCGTCTTCCTTGGCCTGTCTGCTTTTCTCTCCGTCTCCCTTGGCCTGTCTGCTTTTCTCTCCGTCTTCCTTGGCCTGTCTGCTTTTCTCTCCGTCTTCCTTGGCCTGTCTGCTTTTCTCTCCGTCTTCCTTGGCCTGTCTGCTTTTCTCTCCGTCTTCCTTGGCCTCTCTGCTTTTCTCTCCGTCTCCCTTGGCCTGTCTGCTTTTCCCTCCGTCTTCCTTGGCCTGTCTGGGCCCTTGGTGGGAATATAAAGGTTGTTTTTCCGTACTGGGAATATAGGTCTAGACCTACATTTTTATAGACAAATCGGCACTTTGGCCGCCTTCTTCCCAGGACTGCATCTGCTACCCATTTAAGACTGGGTAGACCTATGAATCAAGGTCATTTTAAAAAACGTCCGGTTCCTGCGAACCAACGGCCTTTTTTATCAGCAGGCAAGGCAGGCATCTTGCCGCCAACGTCACGGCGACTATGTATGAATATAAAGTGAGTTTAATACACTAGTTGCATATTACTTGAAAACTAGAGCCGGCCAACATCTTTTACGCGTTTAAAAAAAAAATGTTGTGTGTGTAAATTATTGTTATCAAAACACTAAAATTTGTCAGTTACATTCATTGCTTGCACCTTGACTGGTGTTATTAATGCTTGCACTAATTATTCTCGTTTCCGTTTGACATTTTGTTGACCACATCTAAATGCACGATAGCACCACTTTAGGAACAAATATGTCGTCAGGGAAATGGCAGTAACAACAACCACAAGAAATGCAATAATATCTAACACCAAAAGTTGATACCACGGCATCTGCTGTCCTGGTGATCTCATATATTCCCCGCCATACTTAACTACGTGGTCCAGCCAGTAAGCAGCTTCCTGTTTTGGGTCTTTATACAATTCTCGGTAAAGGCGAGAAGCTTTCTTTATGTTTTCGGTGTATGTTTTATTGAAAATTATTTCTTCCATCATTGCCGCCAGCTCGTCTGCGCTAGCCTGTCGCATGTCGGCACGAAGACCAAACTGTTTAACGACAACTCTTTCTGAGTTGTAAGGCTGATCTCCATATATGGGCAGACAGAGAATAGGTACTCCGTGGTAGAGCGCTTCGTACTGACCATTCTTTCCACAGTGGGAAACAAACAGTTTGGTTTTCTCGTGTCCCAAAAGATCGTTTTGTGGTATCCACTTAGATGTCAGGATTTTTTTGGGGTCAGGGGAAACCTCGTCAATATTCCAAACGACTCTAAGATCGAGTTGCCTGAAAGCAGAAGCTATTTTCGATACGATGTAAGAAGGCACATTGGCAACAGAACTGCCAAAAGACATAACGATGATACCATTTTCAGATTCATCCACGAATTTTCTGAATTCCCTAGTTAAAGGTTTCGCTGGCGATGAAGAAGATCCCCCAATCAGTTTTGTATTTGGTAGTACAGTCCGTGGATAGTCCAGTATGTGGTCAACTTCAGCAATGAAAATTTCAGCTTCTGTCACCAGTTCACTGATGGTCTTGTACGGCTTGTGTGTAGCAAACTTGGCAACCAGACTGCTGTCGTAGAACAACTCAAAGTTCATGCGCACGAGACAAAACAGTGTCATCTGGATTCTCTGAAAGAATGTCATCCTATCACTGAAGTCTAATAAAGGATACGGAGTTGATGCAGGACTAAACGGGACCTTTGAGAGTACGGCCTCATGAAAAGTACCAATTAGTGCAAATGGAACGCCCAAACTATACGGAAGCACCACCATGTTCAGATTGAATATTATGGATTCAAGCACAATTAAGTCAGGCTTTAGACTCCTCACTTCTATAAACGATTTGTCAGCAAGAACGACATCTGCTATTTTGTTAAATTCTGCACACACGTCAAGCCAAATTGCTAGTGAAAAGGCAGTTTCGTTTGCCCAGAATTGATCAGCGACCCTTGTGTTTTCATAAACCTTCCTTACGATATCGCCAAGGTAGTCCCCGTACGTGAGCACTTTGACACCGGTATCCTGCACCAGGTCTTTGGACATGAGAGACTTAGGCACACAGATCCACACATCGTGACCAAGTCTGGCTAAGGCTCCGGCAACGTTGGTCTGATAGACGAGGTAACTGGTTAGTGGTGGCGGGTAAAAGACGATAGTCTTGGCAGTGATATCAGTTGGGACTGTCATCAACATCAATGTGACATACATAAGGATATGGATCGCCATTGTGCGGTCTGAAATTACCAGTATTCAAATGGTTAATGATTTTACTACTACAGTAAAATCAAATATTATTATAATGTATATTTTAAAAATCTGGGCTTTTCCGTAAAAAAAAAAAAAAAGACTCCAGTAATCACCACAAAGTTTTTATAAAATGTACCGATATTTACCACAATGTATATTACATTACTTACAAAAAATGATATCACAAAAAAACAAAATATACCGGTACTGTGTACGTTGCTTACCGGCAGAAAAAAAGCCCTGCTTATATGTATCACCAATGTATATGTTCATTTATCTATTGTTTGTTTGTTTTAGTATCCAGAAGCCATGAGTTGTTAACCCTTAGGCTCGGTATTATGGATATCGCAACCTTTCGGCCTTGATTCCATTTTAAATACCGTAAATCTGGGAGAAATGTGGCTTTTCTGCCCACCCTCGGGAGTGAACCCGGACCACAAGGAGTTCGTCACCCGCTCACCGCGAAAACCGGTTTAGCCAACTTCGCTAGAGAGACGGGCTCATCTATCTATTGATCTGGCCGTCCATTAATCTATGTATTTTTTAATTCTTTCAGGGCTGGCTGTCTATTGATATGTGTCTTATGCTGACAAATGTAAATGATTACACTGTCGTGTAGCTATTCCATTTTACTTTTTTGTTTTTGTGGAGAAATACCTTTATGCTATCATGTGCTCTTAATTTTTTAAAGGATATTTTAAATAATCTCCGCAAAACTCCCTTCGCCATTTAAAACAATATACGGGTAATATGCTGGCCTAGATTTGAAATTAACGGCTCTCATTACTGGTATATATTAATCCATTTTTATGACGGTATAAATATGTAAATGACTGACTAAAATTTTACCCCACCAGGACATCACACCGAGCGATAAACACCCAGTGACACAAAATTCCACTATTGGGATGTGGATCACCCTGGGACAGGTCCTGGAAACCCCGTTAAACCCTTAGGTTGGGTTAAATTAAGGCTCCCAGGCAACAACCAAATGCGGCTTTAAATAATGAACAATTGCCTCTCACACGGGGACGAACTTGGTTTAGGTCAGTCAGTCTTGAGTCTCAGGATTTAAAGGCCGCATGACAAGCGTAAGCGACACGACCTGTGCTGGCATCTACATTTTTGCCAGTAATAGAATCCAAACCAAGGATTCAAACCTGGGACACCCGAACGAGAGTCCAACGTTCTGGTTATTTGGCCGGCCGCTAAGTATTGACTGTTTAAGGGTTGTACAATATATTATCAGTTGCATTATATTTCTTTCCTTCTTCGGTTTACTTCATCTAAGTGTTGCGAGGGATGTAGTTGGGTTGGGGGGGGGGGGGGGGGGGGGGGGGGGTCAGATCTTCTATGTGTTCTTTACAATGCCTTGAACACGCTGGTCTCAATTTCCTAAACTTTGTTCTAAATATCATCGTTTTATATTCTGCGTGGTCTTTCCGTTGTCCTGTTTTGATTGTAATATTCAGCACAGCTATATGTGGTAGGGGCTTTTTTGTGTGTGGGGGGGGGGGGGTTGTTTTGTGGGAGGAGGGGGGGGGGGGGGGGGTAGATGGCCAGACCATTTCATCTGTTGCTCTCAAATAAGTCGAGTGGGTTCAGACCTAAACTTCTCCGCCCAACTGAGATATTTTTTTGTTGCCTTTGAAATATTTTTCCAGGGGTTATACTAGGTCTTTAGATCTGTTTGAACACTTGTGCATACACATCAGCATACTGAACATTTATGGACCTAGAGCTACGATGAGTGGTGAACTATAACATGCGTAGTAATTTCGTATTTTGCACTGGCCTTTATTGAAGGTGAAGCTACTGACGATTAACACGTATTTCATCTCACTGTCTTTCCAGTATTGATTTCCCGATTGATTATAATTTATTTCCTACAAATAGCTGTCTTTCTAGTACAGCGCAGACCTGGGTTATTTTTACGATGGTCTCCCCATTTACACAAGACCGGCTCCATTGATAAGTTGGTTGGAATAGTCTACCGTGTTCGAGGTTATGGATGTCACAGTCTGTTGCTGTCTAGCATTTCTTTTTTTTTTTCTTTCTTTTTTTTTTCTGAGAAAGAGACAGCCTGTGACATATGTTTTGTCACTCTCTGAGTGGGTTGTGTGTTAGACCTAGTATCTAAATGTTTTAGAAGTGTTTAAATCTCTGGCATTGTGAAATATACAACACGCGGTATCAGCGCGAGTGCAGAATATCCACGTGACCTTGTGTGAAAGTAGGATCGCTCGAGGCCGACTTATCATTTGTGGGGTGGTATGTAGGTCGTCCAATCAGAAGCGAGCTACTGTGTAGCCATGTGTAAATGGGGAGACCAGCGTACAATTTACCCAGACCTCCTAAGGTGAACTCACACAAGGAGCCCAGAAATTACCCTATCGGAAATTCCTCTTATCCAGATCAAGAGTTTAATCAAGAAACATTGCTATGGATAAACCAATTGCTCTTCGCAGCAGCCATTCTCCACATCCGAGATTGCCTAAACTCTTTCGGTACCAAAGGGCAGGTAAATATATTAAAAATCAACACAAGATGCGTTTCTTTGTACCCAAGGAGTTTAGCACTTTGTAGTTTCCAATTGATTCTAAGGTATTTTCTATCAATAATATTCTTTTTATTATAAGTTACTACTGATCTGAGAGGCGCTACTTTGTTGAAGAATGAACAGCCGGCGGCCAAAACAAACATTTGATCGCTTTTTTTTTTGGGGGGGGGGGGGGGGGGGGTTGAAATAACACCCTCAAAATAACCTTTTAAATCCTCACAAAATAAGGAAACAAGTACTTAAATTTCAGACAAGTAAAACAATTCATCTACCCCATTTTAGTTTTCAGACAAACGTAAAATTCTCACCAGCGGCGTATCGTGTATTTGATGTTAGACTCTAAATCATGTTAGAATATATCATGGTAGTCTCAGTTAGACTATATATGATTGTAGTCTCAGTTAGACTATTTATGATGGTAGACTCCAAATGATGGTGGACTATCTGATCGGAGATTTTATATCATGGTAGACTCTAAATGATGGTGGACTATCTGATCGGAGATTTTATATCATGGTAGACTCTAAATGATGGTGGACTATCTGATCGGAGATTTTATATGATTTAAGACTCTAAATGATGGTGGACTCTATATGATGGTAGACTGTATATGATGGTGAACTATCTGATCGGAGATTTTATATGATGGTAGACCTTAAATGATTGTAGATCTCAGCATGATGGTAGACTCATTATGATGGGAGACTCTTTATGATGGTAGATTCTAAATGATGGGAGACTCTATATGATGGTAGACTCTATATGATAGGAAACTATAGGGTAGACTCTATATGATAGTAGACTCTAAATGATGGTAGACTCTATATGATGGTAGACTCTATATGATGGTAGACTCTATATGATGGTAGACTCTATATGATGGTAGACTCTATATGATGGTGAACTATTTGATCGCAGATTTTATATGATGGTAGACCTTAAATGATGGTAGACTCAGTATGATGGTAGACTCATTATGATGGGAAACTCTTTATGATGGTAGACTCTAAATGATGGGAGACTCTATATGATGGTAGACTCTATATGATGGTAGACTCTATATTATGGTAGACTATATGATGGTAGACTCTATATGATAGGAAACTATTTTGATTTTAGACTCTACATGATGGTAGACTCTAAATGATGGTAGACTCTATATGATGGTAGACTCTATGTGATGGTAGACTCTATATGATGGTAGACTCTATATGATAGGAAACCATATATGATGGTAGACTCTATATGATGATAGACTCTATATAATGGTAGATTCTATATGATGGTAGACTCTATATGATGGTTGACTCGACTCTATATGATGGTAGACTCTATAAGATGGTAAACTATTTGATAGGAAACTATATATGATGGTAGACTCTATATGACGGTAGACCCATTATGATGGGAGATACTATATAATGGTAGACTCTATATGATGGGAGACTCTATATGATGGTAGACTCTATATGATGGTAGATTCTATATGATAGGAAACTATATGTGATGGTAGACTCTAAAAGATGGTAGACTCCATATGATGGTAGACTCTATGTGAGAGGAAACTATATATGATGGTAGATCTATATGGTGGTAGACTCTATATGATTTTAGACTCTATATGATGGTAGACTCTATATGATAGAAAACTATATATGATGGTAGACTCTATATGATGGTTGACTCTATATGATAGTAGACTAAATATAATGGTAGACTAAATATAATGGTAGACTCTATATGATGGTAGACTCTGTATGATAGTTAACTCTATATGATGGGAGACTCTATATGATGGTAGACTATATGATGGTAGACTCTATATGATAGGAAACTATATATGATGGTAGACTCTATATGATGGTAGACTCTATATGATGGTAGACTCATTATGATGGGAGACTCTATATGATAGTTAACTCTATATGATGGTAGACTCTAAATGTTGGTAGACTATATGATGATAGACTCTATATGATAGGAAACTATATATGATGGTAGACTCTATATGATGGTAGACTCTATATGATAGTTAACTCTATATGATGGTAGACTCTATAAGATGGTAGACTCTATATGATGGTAGACTCTATATAATAGGAAACTATATATGATGGTAGACTCTATATGATGGTAGACTATATGATGGTAGACTCTATATGATGGTAGACTCTATATGATGGTAGACTCTATATGATGGTTGACTCTAAATGATGGTAGACTCTATATATTGGTAGACTCTATATGATGTTAGACTATTTGGTAGACTCTATAAGATGGGAGACTATATGATGGTAGACTCTATACGATGGTAGACTCATAGTTTTATAGACCACGGTGACGGTACCAGTTAAATATTACACTGGCTCCCTTTATATATATATATAAATATATATATATATATATATATATAAAGTAG